AAATATAAAGATAGTTTTAATCGTGGTGATTAATAATTCAAATCAAGCATGCATCCATTCAAAAGCAAATTAATAAATTACATATTCCTGCTAAGATTCATGCCTAACCCTAGCAATACAAGTTAGTTACTCATATTCATAATTAAAATCATAGAAAATATTATTAGAATGAAAACTCCTTGAAGTATAAAATCTGAAAGCCCTTGAAAACCCTAGCAATTCTTCTGTCTCCAAAGTTGCATAAAAGAAAGCCGTGAAAAGACTAAGAACGGCAAAGCAATATATCCTGCTATGAAATCGCACAAACCCTAAAGTGTAGTCTTTTGCTCCAACTAGGAAACTAAATAATAATAAAATAACTTAGAAAATAAAGTTCTAATTAAACTAGGAGAATATGCACATAAACTATCCAGCCATGTTTTAACCTCAAATATCCTCCAAATCAGGCCCATAATAGCTTGTTTTGAAGATCGGGACGTTCTGAACACATCTCTAGAAAGCTACGAACCCATCCGAGGTCATCTCAGACTCCAAAAACGCAATTCAAGCCTAAAATGTCGTTATTCCAGCACCTCGCACTACTCCTTCATTCTATCATCAGAAAATAATTGTTTGGTAGAAAAATCTGATATTTTGATACGATTAAGCTAAGTGACTCACGAACGTCCTTCAACTGGAATTGCTCCAAAATTCATCAATTTGACCACGTTTTGCTCCAGAGAAGCCGAAAGTCCTATATTAAAAATACAATTCAAAGTATTAAAATTCTTTCAAAATAATAACCAAAATATACTAAAAATAGAGTTAAATATATAATATAAAATATACTCATCACCGGGCCCAAAAATGAGAGGACTGCTAGTCTTCTCCTTCGTACGCCAGCAACAGCCTGACCAACGGAGCCTCGACTAGCAAGCGCAAGACCTACGTCTGGATATGGGTATCAGATGGGAGGGACTGCCCCTGATCTGGTCGACAAGCACCGGAAGACAGTGCTTCGACGACATTCTCGTCCGTTGGAAATTGAAAGGTCATGAGCGTCGAACCGACTTACCCAAAATCATATAGCCATTGAGGGGAGAGGGATGATGTTGCTGTGAATTCTTTTATTTCTGCACGGTGAACTAAAAAATGAAACATCAATATTTTATAATTACAAAAAATTAATGTTTTCTTGTTCTACTTATTTGTCCGGAACACTTCATAATTCTTATCCTGATTAGTCTAATATAATCCAATCCAATCTAGTTCTGATCTTAAAATTAGTTTAGTTCGAGATAGTTCGATGCAATAAACACACTCTTACCTTTTAGTTTCATCCAACACCATGCTAATCTAAACCACTTTGAAAAATCCAACAACATCCTCTTCAGATCCTTTTGGTGAGGATCTTGAAGATCTATGAATTGTGTCAGTTCATTTTACATCGTGCGATCAGTTTTTGTCAAGTATTATTAATTTTTTTTTAAATTAAAAAAAAATTAAAAATTTCTAATCGCACGATATGCGATGATTAGATAAGATTCACACATCCGTAGAATCCTCACAAAGAGGTTCGGACTCTTGAAAAATGACCTCATGGCAACATCCATAGCTAGGGACCTACCTTAATTTTTCTCGTATAGGTAGTACGGACGTAGGCTCACCGCCTTGCATGCATAGATAATAAGGAAAACTAATGAAAAGGGCTTGAAAACTTTGAGTTTTAATGATAAAGACAAAATAAAGAGTAAAGTGAATAGTACCAGGTTTGACTTTTTAGTGTAAAAATATGGTTTTTCGTTAAAGTGAACAGTACCGTAGGCTTTTCGTTAAAACTCCCTAGATAATAATGCAACCAAAATCATGGGATCGTTAAAGTGAAAGTGGGCCTCAACTGGACCCATATGTAATTATGTAATACGTAGTGGTGTCCAACTGTAAAATTAAATATTACAAGGCTCATTTCAGCACCAACATAAATATGAGCCCCACCTGAGTATCACGTGATCTCTTTCTGCATATTAGCTCACTCTTGGTGTCGCTCTCAACCTTTGTTTTTTTATTGTCTAACTCTCAAAACCTCATCAGTCTATCAAATTTCAATTTCAATTTGCACGTACATGTTTTCGTTGTATTATGCGATGATTTTTAGTGCAAATCTCCCAATAATGGAGAAAACATTATTACCCTTGCAATTCCAATGTCTCACTAGTCACTACTCTACCCAAGGTACTTGGAGAGAACATTATTACCCGTGCTCGTGATCGTTCATTGTACATCATGCGATAAAAAATCATTTCAAAATTTAAAATTTAAAATCAAATATAAATAGTTACTAACAAAAACTAACCGCACGATATACGATAAACGGTCACAATCACAAGATCCTTAAGAATCCCGAGATCCTTTTCCTTTTTTAACGAGTTTAAATTTTTTGAACTTATTTTTTGTGTGATCTCTATATGGCTTTTATTATTGACAAGCACGTGTTAATAAACTTAACTCTCTTTTATTTTGTTAACATAAAAATAATACGTAATGATAAAAACTACCCAAATGTCACACGTAAAGAGATTTGGTCTCTTTTTTTATTTTCCCTTTTTTTTTTTTTTGAGAGAGAGAGAGAGATGATCTCCTTTTTAACTACTACAAATCCTTTACTTATTCATAATTTATTATTGAGTAAATTACATAGTAGCCCCTCAGGTTTGAGGTCAATTACAACCCCATACAACAACTTTAAAACATTTCACTTTCATACATCCAGTACCATTTTATTTCAAAATAACACCTCCGTTAGATTTTCCATCCATTAGTCTGTTAAATGCTGACGTGGCTGCCACATTTGTGCCACGTGGCTGCCAAATGTGTGCTACGTGGAAATTTTTTTTTTTTTTATTACCCTATTGAACAAAAAAAAAAAAAAAAAACGAAACCATGTTCGTCTTCCCCACTCTCTCTCTCTCGAACCCCATACCCCCCAAAATCCCCAGATCCAAAATTCCCAGTTCTCAACCTTCAACCACCACGAGAATCTCATCCCGATTATCCACTCCCAAGCTCCCCAAACCGCCATTTTTCACCACACCCCCTATCTCTCTCTCTTACCCAAGCCACTGCCATTATTCATTTCATCAAAACCCAAAAGACAAGAGCCACCCCACTTCACCACTCGAATAGATGCAGCCACCCACCCCACCCATTTTATCTCAATCCAAAACCAAAGCCTCTCCTAACCCACCCCCAGAAATCCAATAGTTTTCAAGGAATTGTAGAACCTCAACAATTTCAAAAACCAAAAACCCACTTCAAATTTCAATCTTCTCTCTCTTCGTCTTCTGGGTTTTTTTTTTTTTTTAATCAATTCTCTCTTCCTTTTCTGGGTTTTGCGGCAGAGGATGGTGGGTTTGCGCTTGACGGGAGGAATAGTGCAGGGACTCGGCATTATACATTGCCTGCCGCCGGCCCTCCCCATTTGCTTTCGGGTAAGGATGGACAGAAAGCTTTGAGGAGTCCATATATGCCTCTGCGCCTGCAAAAAGAAAAAGTGAAGGAAGATACAGCAGCTGCCAAAGCCAAGGCAAAAGGGTTTTGCTTGTTGGGCTTTAGAAATTTGGATTTAGGGTGGGGAAAGATGGTAGAAAACCACACGGCAGCCGTGCGGGGGAGGGGGCGATGGTCGTTTGGACGGGGAATGTTTTTGGAGGCGCAGTGGGGAGGGAAATGGTTGCGGGTGATGAGGGATGGGGGAAGGGTGGGTGTTGGGGGGTGCGAGGTGGGCACGGGTGGGGATTCTGGGGAAGGAGATCTGGTTTTTTTTTTTTTTTTTGTTCAATAGGGTAATAAAAAATTATTATTTTTTCCATGTGGCACACATTTGGCAGCCACGTGGCACAAATGTGGCAATCACGTGGCACAAATGTGGCAGCCACGTCAGCATTTAATAAATTAATGGATGGAAAATCTAACGGAGGTGTTATTTTGAAATAAAATGATACTGGATGTATGAAAGTGAAATGTTTTAAAGTTGTTGTATGGGGTTGTAATTGACATCAAACATGAGGGGCTACTATGTAATTTACTCTTTATTATTGTTTCGAGATTGGCGATTTTTTTCCTCCAAAAAAGAAATGTATAATACCATCTTGGGATGCCAAATTATTCTCTCTTTCATAACATAAATGGGAATGTGGATTTCTCAAAAAAAAAAAAAAAAAAAAATGGGAATGTGGGATGTGAAATGGTTGCAGTGTTTAGCAATTTAACGTAATATTGGATTAAACAAATGATAATATTAGAGAGATTAAATTTTTAAATTGAATTTACAAATTAAATAGTATATTTCATCAATACGAAATAAACACGTTAACGAACATTTAAGTTATAATCTAATCATAAACAACTACACATAAATTTTGATTTAAAATTTTAATTCTTTAACATTATTCTTAAACAAAACTGCGTCCGTATGGCCTGGAGGATGTGAAAATAAAACATAAACTATGTGCCCGAAAAATATCATAAAATAACATGAAAAATATCTGCAGAGGACCCCAACCACTTAATTTTTTATTTTTTTTAGTAAAACGATAGCGTTAGTAAATTAAATGTTAAATTAGTTCGAACTCACACCGTTATATAAGGGCATAACACTTTTTCACTACTGTGGTAAATACCCACTTGCACAACCACTTAATTTAAATAAGAGACAACTATGTCAGTCTGTCAGTGATTTTTCACATGTTATAAATAGTAACCTAGAAAGATGGTAAATAAATTAGACAAAAATTAATTAATTGTTTTTCTTCAATAAATATATAGGAAGAAAATGCAAGTTTAGTGAGATGGTGAGGAGCGATTTGAGGCTGGTCAGTCTCCGCTCGTTTGAGAAGGCCGCACAAGTCTCAGTCTCCTTAACTTCTTCCCTCTTTTTTTAGATCAAAAAAACAAAAATTACTCGAAGACTAAACCAAAACCAAAACCAAACACCCGATCACAACTCTTCCATCTCTCTCTCTCTCTCCTCCCTTTCTCTCTCTAAATCTCTTTGCACTTACTGCTTCCTTGTTCTTTTACCTTCCCATTTCATTAAAAAAACAAAAACAAAACATGGTTAAGAAACAAAGATGATTGCTTTGCACTCCCCAATCACTATTTACCTTATTCCTGTAATCGCGGGGAACCCCTTTAAAGTTGCCCTCTTTCCTTCCATGTTTCCTACTCTTATTAAATAACCTTTTTCTGCCTCCTCTTTCCAATTTTTAATCTTTCTGATTAAATAAATATGGCAACAAATACCACTTGAAATTACCCTTTTGGTTTCTGCAGTTGTGAGGTTCCGTTTGAGGTAGCATTGTACTGGGGGAGGTCAAAACGGGCTATATAGAGAGCCTTGACTGAGATTTTTTTCACATCAGGTAAAAAAAGCACTTTCTATTTAAGAAGCTTTTTCTTTAGAGAAATACAAGTTACCCAATTTGCAGCTGCTGGTTCCCAGTACAAATCTTTGCTTGTTTCCAGTGGATTTGTTGGGTTTGTGGTGTTTTTTGCCATAAAACTTGGGGTGCAGAAAGAAGCAAAGAATAAGAAAAAAAGGGAAAGAGGAAAGGTTCAGACGTCAGTGTAGTTTCTTTAAGATTTTGAGAGAACTTTAGGGTACTGAGTACTTGTTTTGTTTCTAGCTTCAAACTTCTGTCGCTGGAAATAGGTACATTTCTGATTGCATTTCGTTTCTTTTTCCTTACATTTTCCTTAATTTTTATGTTTATCTTTTTGTTTAATGGGATCTCTTAGCTTTTGCCTTCCTAGTGTTTGGATCTTGTTCTTGCTTTGTGAAATTTGCATTTTTTGCTTTATTTGTGTTTCCAAGTTAAATATGTAAGTTTTATTGATATTGGGTTTATTATTTATGAGCAAAGTTTGAATCTTTCCATATTTGGTTGATAGTTAGAGTAGTGTGTGATTTTGCTTTTGCTCCTTATTCCTGTATAGAGATGTATGTTTTTATTTTATTTTATTTTATTTATTTGTGGGGTTCATGATTTATGAATAAAGATTGGATCTTTATGTTTTCGATTGATTGTTACAGTTACAGTGTGCTCTTAATGAATTATGAATGGTTATTAAATGGGATCTTATGATTTGTGAAAAGGCTTGAAATTCTTGAGGTATTGATTGATGGGTTGAGTGTGATTTCTTGATGTTTTCCTTCGAATTGGAACTTTTTGCAGAAAGAACAATATGGCCAGGGATTATAGTGGTGGATCGCCAAAGCATCACCACATAGAATCCAAGAAGAAGAGGCTCACTTGGATCTTCGGTGTTAGTGCGCTCTGCATAGTATGTTACATGTTAGGAGCTTGGCAAACCACTTCTGCCCCTGTCAATCAATCTGAGCTCTACCAAAGGGTTGGTTGTGATGAAACGCCATCTCAATCCGGGAACAAAACTTCCTCATCCGTGTCATCATCATCATCATCGCTTCACTTGGACTTCGAAAGCCATCATCAAGTGGACATCAACAAAACTGAGGCTGTCCAGAAGTTCCCACCGTGTGACATGTCCTACAGCGAGTACACTCCATGCCAGGATGCAACAAGGGGGAGGAAATTCGACAGGAGCATGTTAAAATACAGAGAGAGGCATTGCCCTACCAAAGAAGAACAACTTCTTTGCCTTATTCCTGCTCCACCAAAGTACAAGACCCCTTTCAAGTGGCCTCAGAGTCGTGATTTTGCTTGGTATGACAACATTCCCCACAGAGAACTCAGCATTGAGAAAGCTGTCCAAAATTGGATTCAAGTCGAGGGTGACAGGTTTAGATTCCCCGGGGGAGGTACCGGGTTTCCAAGGGGAGCTGATGCATACATAGATGAAATGAACGCGCTCATTCCTCTCACTAAGGGCAACATCAGAACTGCAATTGATACCGGCTGTGGTGTAAGTAGCACATATATGTGTATAGATGTGTATATAGGTAGTAAATTCTGATGCACTCTCCTGTTTGGGTATTTAGGTAGCCAGTTGGGGTGCTTACCTGTTGAAGAGGGACATCTTGACAATGTCTTTTGCGCCAAGAGATACGCATGCAGCGCAGGTCCAGTTTGCATTGGAGCGTGGAGTTCCTGCTATGATTGGTGTCATGGCTTCGAAGAGGCTTCCCTACCCTGCAAGGGCCTTCGATATGGCTCACTGTTCCCGCTGCTTGATCCCTTGGACGAACTATGGTAAGTGCCTATGTCTCTCTTTCATGTTTGCTTCAACATATTACACTATCTGACATTACTTGAGTTGAAGATTTTGGAGCTGCATACTTCAAATAGGCATGTGTATGTATGTGTGTGTGTATATATATATATGTATATGTGTATATATGTATGTATCTATTCACCACTGTGCTTAGACTTAAGATGTTGAAGTAAAATTCACCACTAATTTCATATGATGTGGTTTTGAAAGCATGTGGATCTTCTTTTGAACTATTTTTGCAGATGGTATGTATCTAATTGAAGTGGACAGAGTTCTAAGGCCTGGTGGTTATTGGATTCTTTCCGGGCCGCCTATTCACTGGAAAAAACACTGGAGAGGATGGGAGAGAACTCAACAGGATTTGAAACAAGAGCAAGATTCTATTGAGTCTCTTGCAAAGCGCCTGTGCTGGAAGAAGGTGATCGAGAAGAACGATCTAGCAATCTGGCAAAAACCTATCAATCACGTCGAATGCATTAAGAGCAGGAAGGTGTATAAAACACCACATATATGCAAATCAGACAATCCAGATATGGCTTGGTACTACTTCCTGAGCTTCATTTGTGATTTTGTTTATTTGATTTGGAATGCGAATTCTCCTGTACTAACTCTGCTTAATGTGGCATGTTTTGTGCTTAAAAGGGAAAGAGAAATGGAGAGTTGCATTTCTCCTCTACCGGAGACGAGCAATCCCAATGATGTTGCTGGTGGGGCGTTGGAGAAGTGGCCTCAGCGTGCATTTGCTATCCCGCCTAGAATCAGCAGTGGTTCAATACCAGGAATCACTGCTGATAAACTCCGTGAGGATAATCAACTGTGGAAGGAAAGGGTGGACCATTACAAGCGGATCGTACCAATTTCCAAGGGAAGGTATAGGAATGTGATGGACATGAATGCTTACCTCGGTGGATTTGCTGCAGCATTGTCAAAATATCCGGTGTGGGTTATGAACACAGTCCCTGCCAACTCAAACCAGGACACTCTTGGAGTGATTTACGAACGGGGTTTCATTGGACATTACCAGGATTGGTGCGAGGCATTGTCCACATATCCCAGAACATACGATTTCATCCACGCTGGGGGAGTCTTCAGCATATACCAGGACAGGTAAAGCTCATTCCACGATAGTTTGCATTTGGTCATCAAGTTTTGTTACTTTGAGGCCTAATGTGGTTTGTACACTGCAGGTGTGACATAACACTCATTTTACTGGAGATGGATAGGATTCTGAGGCCGGAAGGAACTGTTGTGTTTAGGGATACTGTAGAGATCCTGGTGAAAGTAAAGGCGATTACCGACGGAATGAGATGGAAGAGCCAGATTCTGGATCATGAAAGTGGACCTTTTAATCCAGAGAAAATTCTTCTTGCAGTGAAAACTTACTGGACTGGTGAAGAAAAAAAAGGAAGCTAGTAGAGATGTAGTAGTGTATCCTTTTATTTTTCCTTTTTGCTTTTGCTTGCAATTCTACTTTTGCTTATTTTTTTTTAAACTTTTATTTTTACTCTCTTGGTGCATCACCAATGTTATGCTCTGGGATTGTGTAAAAGAATATAATATGCTTCTAGGTGGGAAATTGGATAGTTTTTTAACGATCGTCGCCTTATTGTTTATTTCGTGTGCGTTTCTTGGTTCAATCTAAATCAGTCGAACAGAGAATTCAAACTTGGATATCTTCCAATATTCAGAAGAGACGTATCACTAAATCCAGAGTTAGTGAGCTTTTGGTTGTGAAAATATTGAGCAACAAGTGTTATGGTCAGTGATTAGCCTTATTGGCCAAGGAGTTAGGTGATCCATCCTCTTGAAGCTTCATTATTTGGTAGGCAGTCTTAAGTTCCTAACTGCTAGTATTTGTGCAGATTGACAGTAGGTAGGTAGAAATCAGTCTATTGGGCAGGGCAGTTAGGCATGCTGAACTCTGAGGAGCTGCTAAAGCTAAAGTGTAAGGGACAAAAAAGTCTCCAAGAAAATAGTAACAAATTGTGGTACTGAGACTCTAGACCCGCATCTGCAAGCGACTTGTAGTTTAAGTGGTCGATAATATTGACTCATCTATTTGAGGATATTCAATCTTTCCCTATCCAAGATTATTGATAAGTGGATTACTGTCTTGGACTCGTTCTGACACTATAGGAGCCATCAGCCTGGTAATAGGCTATTTAGAAACAAGTTATAGCTCAAGTAATTAAGAATATTGAATCATTTACTTAAGATTTTATGTTTGGTTTTTACGATTTATCTCGAAAGTGTTGTCTAGGATTAACTTACATGAAACAGGTTCACTGTTATCATGGCACCTCAAAGTAATAATGCAGTAGAGAAAAGTTCACCAAAAACAAAAGACAAAGCATCATTAGATCAAAGAAACACGTGACTGTAAACTACTTCAATAAGTTCTTCTCGTTGTGCAGGACTCGAAAGCTAGAAGAGACTCTAGGCCCCTAAGGACCCAAACAAGGGCAAATAGTCAAATTGAACAGAAAATGTTGGGTGGTGGGAGGTCGACACTGTGAAATGGCTTTGGTTGGTATGGACCTGATCACCCCACTTGGGGTTTGAAAGTGACGCTTCACTTGATGTCTCTAGGATCAAAATTCAAGCAAACATAGTGCTTTTTACACCTTTGTTGTTGTTGTTGTTATCTTTCACATTCTTGTTAATTTTTGTTCATTAATTTTCTTCGATTTATTCGATTAGATGCTCGAAAATTAAAAGGATTATGTTAGAAGTAAAAATAGGTGTTGAACCCCCCAACGTATTAAATGAAAACACGAAATTAGAAATTCCAACACCAAACAATGTACGATATGCAACAACTTAATCATTTGATGTGATAAGCTTATTTGATCTCTTTAGAGTTTAAATATTATATGAACTATAATCTTTTTTTAATTTGTATATGAATTAAAATTTTGAAACGACCTATCAAACCAACTTTCTAAAATCATTAATTTGTCATCTCACTATAACTTTGTTAAGTTTTTCATTAAAATAGCACATGATTTGAGTTCAGGGTTATTTCAAATATTTCAACACCTCACTCTCCTTCTAATAAGTTGCCTTCAACAAAAATAATATAGGGTTTCTAAAAAAAATATAAAAATGGGGCTCATTTGGTACACGATGATCTGAGGGTATTCTGTTTGGAAAAGGGGACCGATCTACACTCATTTCTCTGTGTTCCGAAGTGAAGATGACTAAAAAATATAGTCATTAGGGACCCTCCAATATATGGTAAAGTTGCATGATATTCTTTATGTTGAAATGTGACAAATGACGTATTTTGGATGGAAAACTTAACGTAGTTAGGATGAAATGATAAATTAATAATTTTGAAAAATTAGTATGACAAAACCCTTAAAAAATTTCAATTCGTATGACACATTGAAAAATGTGTGTGAGTTCATATGATAATTTTAAAAAGACTTTTTAGTCAAAATAATCTTTGAGATTAACATAAGTCCTTACTTTGGAACCACTTCTATTGATTTTAAATCTCATAGATCAAAATGATGAGATATGCTAATCTCAGAGACCGTTTTTGGTAAAAAGCCTTTAAAAAAATTTATTGACCAAAAACAAAACCTTTAAAAAATCTCCTTTTAGAGTATAGAATGATACTTTATTAGTATATCATATAGTGTTGTATAATAAAAGGGCTCAAAACACATACGTATGGCTTATGAGTTATGACCAATTAGACATTGTGCGTTTAAAATAAGTGCAGTCGAGCATGTTTCATCTCATAAATTATATCAAATAACACATGGATTGGTTTGTAAGATATGACTAGTTGATCAACCAGATGGTCAGACATCATCATGAGGATTTGAGAAATTCCGTAACCGTGTTCATTCATCGTTCATCGTACGATCAGTTTTCTCGTTAAGTACTATTTATATTTAATTTAAAATTTCCAAAATAAAGAACCAAAAGAAAGATGAATTAAAAAGACACACACGCAAAAGAAAGATGAATTAAAAATCTCCTGGGCTCCAATATGTGCGTGTGTATTTGTGACTTGTGAGGGTTATGTTCCTCAAACCATAAATTATATTTAAACATTTTGGGTAGACCGCGGAACTGGAGAGGGGATTGATTCGATCAAATCGTATAGAACGCAATCGATTGAAGCAGAAAAGGAAGGAAGGAAGATTTCGGCGATGGGGGATGCGAAGAGGAACACTTCTTCTTCTTCCGGCGGTGACGAGGAGATACGAGCACAAGTGGCCAAGGCGGTGGAGGGGGTGAAGGAGCTGCAGGACTCAGCTGCCTCCTTCGTCTCCAGAGCCTCCGCCGACGAGCAATCCCTACGCCACCGCGCCCAATCTCTCGATTCCTCCATCCGACGCCTCCGCTCCCAGCTTGATTCCCTGCTCTCCAGCAAGGCCTTGGATCCCAAGTTAGCAGAAAAGGTAAGTTCTTTCGACCCCTTTTCTGGTTCTTTGTCTCCTTCTGCTGCTTCTGCATGTCTGTGCATGCAAACCCAATTGCTGGAATTGCTGATTTTGCTTATTTTCTGGATCCATTGATTGCCCATTTTGTGATTTTGCTTTCTGGGATTGTAAATTTGCATGAAATTGGAAGATTATTTGAATTGAAAATTTGGAATTGATTGGTGTTTTGGTTGGATATGTTAATGGCAGCTGGAAGAAGACTTGCAGAGGGCCACATGTGTGTTGGTGGATGGCGATGCCGCTTCGTTTCTTCCTGGGAAATCTCAGGGTACCCGTTTCATTAATTACTTCATTGATCATAATTTTGAGATTTTTGCTTTAGTTTTGTGTTGGATTGGCTCGTTGTGCGTATGTTAAAGGGTTAAAGTTTATGCAGGAGGGAGGTTTCTGAGGATGTTTCTCGGTCCTATCAACGTGCGTTCCTCTAGCAAAGATATCCGACTCAAGGTTAAAGAGGAATACAACGGTTACAGAGTACGTAATACGTCTTATTGCTTTATGCTTTTGTCCCAAGTTGCTTTTGATTTTGGTATTGACATATATGCTGAGCTTCATATCACTGTAAGTTTTTGAAACTGGAGGAATATATTCATCTTACTTTCAATATGCTAAGTGCAGAATCAGTTCTTAGGATCATGCCTTTAGTTTATAGTTACCAACTGAGCCAACTAATTACAGTCAATGAAGCCTAGGAAGAAACTTCGACTTATTCATGCTTAAGGTGGTTTCACATACCAAAACAAAAACCATGCTCAGACCACTTTGTCTCTTTTGCTTGGATTATGTTTCAAGGAATCTTTTTTTTATGCCTTTTCTTTTTATATCCTTTTGCATGACACAAGTGACATAAATGATCTCTTCGATTTCAGGATAATCAGGGTTTATTCCTTCATTCTTTGACTTTTTAGTCTTTTTCTCACTACCGGGCTATCTTGAATTACGGTAGGTATAGGGTTTCAATACAAAAAGAAGGCCCTTGAGGTTAAATTAACTACTAAAAATTCCATCGGAGATATATAAGTGTGCTTGGAAATTCTTATAATTCGTCTTAGTGATCTATGCTAATATTTGGGTAGAGGCATGACAATTCAACATAACCTCAACGGGAAGCATCTGTCATAAATATTTTACTTGCCCCCTTTTTGTATTTATGCCTTCTTATTTTTGTTTAAATCTGATCCCTTAGAGTAGAATTGACTCATATATTATGCTTTCCCTCGTGCTGCTTCGTTAACTTTATCTCGTATAGCTACTTTCTCCATCTTCTGTTACCACAAAGAATGTCAAGCAAAAATAGTTTGAGCAGCTTTACTTACAATGATATTACTTTGGAGCAGGATAGAACTGCCCTTCTATTCCTTCTTTTTCCAGCAGCACTACTAACACTAAGATCTTGGATTTGGGATGGATGTTTGCCAGCGTTTCCAGTTCAGGCTTACCAGGTACATTCATGTGATTTGAATGTGCTGATATTTTTGTCTAAATGCATGATTTCATAGTGGATTTAACTTTGAGTTTATGCTTATTAGGCATGGTTGTTATTCCTCTACACTGGTTTGGCACTGCGAGAAAACATTTTGAGAGTAAATGGAAGCGATATTCGTCCATGGTAAGCGCACAGCACCTTTGCTCCTACATCATTTTTCCTTTTTCCCTGGCTGTTATTCCTCTACAGTGTTTTACAAGATACAAGAACCAAGTTTGTGACCTCTTATGCTCAATTTGGGTTGATAACATCCGTAGTTTCTTTAAAATAATGAAGCTGAATTAAGTCAAGCTCCATGTGCAGGCGTGTCTTTTGTTTATATATATTTGTTTCAAATTGTGTTGGTTCAACTAGCATTTGTAATCAAGTACAGACTTGCGAGAAACATTTCTGAAGGCCTGTTTAGGATCCATAGATAGTTTCAGAGTAATTATAATATCTCTTTTCTCTTTTCCTAAGTATTGTAAAAGTCATCTTGAGGTATTATTTATTGAGGTGTGATATCAGATAACTGAGTAGGGTGCAGGTGGATGAAACCAAGGAAACTTGTCTATAATTGTTATTAAAAGTCAAACTGATGACTTTTACTATTATTTTTCACAACGTATCACAGAAATTTCTTATTCCCACTTTTGTGGTTTGGATTGAAGATATATAAACCAAGGAA